TAATATTTTAGTAATATGTATTTTCTACCATATTTTCAATTATAAATGTTTCAAATATTTTAATATTCTGATAATATTTTAGTAATATAAATTTTCTACCATATTTCAATTATATAAATGTTTTTATTTAGTAATATAAATGATAATATTTTAGTAATATAAATGTTACCATTTTTCAATTATAAATGTTTCAAAATATTTAGTAATATAAATAATATTTTAGTAATATATGTATTTTTAATAATATTTTCAATTATTTAAAATTTAAAACATACTATTTAGTAATTAAATATAATATTTAGTAATATAAATTGAGAACATATTTAGTAATATAAATCCAAATGTTTCAAAATATACTTTACAGTTCTGATAATATTTAGTAATATGTAATTTCTACCATATTTTCAATTATCCAAATGTTTCAAATTACTTTAATAGTTCTGATAATATTTTAGTAATATAAATGTATTTTTTACCATAATTTTAAATTATCCAAATGTTTCAAATATAAATTTATATTTCTGATAATAATTTTAGTATTATGTATTTTAAACCATATTTTCAATTATCCAAATGTTTCAAAATAAATTACATTTAGTATAATAATTTTAGTATTTAGTAATATAAATCTACCATATTTTCAATTATCCAAATGTTTCATTTATAATTTACAATTCTGATAATATTTTAATATTATGTATTTTTAATATTTTTAAATTATCCAAATTTTCAAATATAAATTTAATATTTAGTAATATAATTTTAGTATTTAGTATTTATAACCATATTTTCAATAATATAAATGTTTTAAATATAAATTTACAGTTCTGATAATATTTTAGTAATATAAATGAGAATATTAGTAATATAAATTCAAACATTTTTAAATAAATGATAATATTTAGTAATATAAATTTTCTACCATATTTAGTATTAAAATAAAGAAAATATTTAGTAATATAATATTTTAGTAATATGTATTTTAACCATATAAATATCCAAATGTTTCAACAATTTTTAATATTCTGATAATATTTTAGTAATATATATTTCTAATATAAATGGAATCCAAATTTAAATGTACTATTTACATTTCTGATAAATTTTAGTAATATATATATTTACTATTTATAATTCAATTATCCAAATGTTTCAAATATAATTTACAGTTCTGATAATATTTTAGTAATATGTATTTTTATGTAATATTTTCAATAAATGAAATGTTTCAAACATAAATTTACTATTTGATAATATTTTAGTAATATGTATTTTAACCATATATTTATTAATAAATGTTTTCAATTTATAATATAAATGATAATATTTTAGTAATATAAATTTTCTACCATTTAGTTCAATTAAATGAAATATTTCAAATATAAATTTAATATTTGATAATATTTTAATAATATGTATTTTAGTAATATAAATCAATTATTTAGTAAAATGTTGTAAAATTTATAATAAATGATAATATTTAGTAATATAAATATTTAGTAATATAAATAATATTTAGTAATATAAATGTAATTTAGTAAATATGTAGTTTTATAATATTTTAGAAATGATAATATTTAGTAATATATTTGAATATTTAGTCAATATAAATGTTTCAAAACATATTATATTCTGATAATGAATTTTAGTAATATAAATGTTTATTTAGTAATAAATACCATATTTCAATAATCCAAAATGAAACATATTTACATAAATGATAATATTTTAGTAATATAAATTTAATATACCATAATTTAAATTATCCAATTTAGTAATATAAACATACTATTTAGTAATTCTGATAATATTTAGTAATATAAATTTTTTACCATAAATTCAATTATTTAAATGTTTATAAACAGAATTTTTAGTTATAAATAATATATTTAGTAATATGTATTTTCTACCATAATTTCAATTATCCAAAATAATTTAAATGAAATATTTACAGTTATAAATGATAATATTTAGTAATATGTATTTTCTACCATTTTTTAATATAAATGTTTATGAATTTAGTAATACAGTTCTGATAATATATTTAGTAATATAAATTTTCTATTATATAGATCTAATATTTTAATATTTATAATATAAATTTAATATTTAGTAATATAAAGAGAGAATATTTAGTAATATCTGATAATATTTTAGTAATATTTATTTTATAACCATATATTTAATTATCCAAATGTTTCATTTAGTAATATAAGTTCTGATAATATTTTAGTAATATGTATTTTAGTAATATAAATTTTCAATTATATAAATGTTTCAAAATTTTTAAGTTCTGATAATATTTTAGTAATATGTATTTTATACCATATTTTCAATTATCCAAATGTTTAAAAAATGTACTTTTTAGTTCTGATAATATTTTAGTAATATGTATTTTTACCATATTTTCAATTATCCAAATGTTATAAAAACATATTTTATTTGATAATATTTTAGTAATATTTATTTTCTAAATATTTCAATTATAAATGTTTCAAAATATTTTTAACAGTTCTGATAATATTTTAGTAATATGTATTTTCTACCATATTTTAATATAAATAAATGTTTCAATTTAAATATTTTAGTAATATAAATTTTGTAGTAGAATGTATAATTTTTATATAATATATTTTAGTAATATAAATCAATTATCCAAATATTTCAAATATACTTTTACAGTTAATAAATAATATATTTAGTAATATATATTTTCTACCATATTTAATAATATAAATAAGAAAAACATATTTACAATTCTGATAATATTTTAGTAATATAATTTTCTACCATATTTTCAATTATCCAAATGTTTCAAACATAATTTACATATTTAATAATATTTTAGTAGTATGATTTAATATTTTATTTAATAATATAAATAAATGTAATATTTAGTAATATAAATGATAATATTTAGTAATATAAATGAGAATTATATTTTCAATTTCAAATTTTCAAATATAAATGACTATTTGATAATATTTAGTAATATATTTAGAGAGACAATTTTTAATTATAAAATGTTTAAAAATGAGAAGAGTTTGATAATATTTTTAGTATTTATAATATAAATGAGAGACAAGGTTTAGTAATATAAATGAGAGAGTAATTTAGGTAATATAAATATTTATTTATAAATGTATATTTAAATATAAATGGAATATTTAAATATAAACAGACATTATTTAGTAATATAAATGAGAATATTTAGTAATATGTATTTTTTTACCATATTTTCTAATAAATATAAATGGAAATTTAGTAATATAAATGATAATATTTTAGTAATATAAATTTTTATTTAGTAATTTTCAAATTATCCAAATGTTTTAAACATAATTTAAATAAATGATAATATTTAGTAATATGTATTTTGTACCATATTTTATTATCATTTGTTTCAAAACATAATATTTAGTAATATATAATATTTTAGTAATATGTTTTATTCAAATATAAATTTTCAATTATATTTAGTAATGAGAGAGAAACATTTAGTAATTTAATGAGAATATTTAGTAATATAAATGGAATATTTATAATATAAAGAGAATATTTAGTAATATAAATGAGAGATAATATTTTAGTAATATAATATAAAGGAATATTTAGTAATATAAATGAGAGAGAATATTTAGTAATATAAATGAGATTTATTTATAATAAAATGAGAGAGACAATTTAGTAATATAAATGAGAAAAGGTTTAGTAATATAAATGAGAATATTTTATAATATAAAATTTTTTATATATAAATTAGAGAAAGGTTTAGTAATATGAATGGAATATTTATAATATATAAATAATAATTTAGTAATATAAATTATCTAAATTTAGTAATATAAATGACTATTTAGTAAATTTAGTAATATAAATGAGAGAGAAGGTTTAGTAATATAAATGAGAGATATTTAGTAATTTATATTTAAATATAAATTTAGTAATATAAATGAGAATATTTAGTAATATAAATGGACAATTAGTAATATAAATGAGACCCTTTTAGTAATTTGAGAATATTTAGTAATATAAATGTAGAAGGTTTAGTAATATAAAATGAGACTATTTAGTAATTAAATGTAATATTTAGTAATATAAATGAGAGAGACAATTTAGTAATATAAATGAGAGAGAAGGTTTAGTAATATAAATGAATGAAATTTAGTAAGATAAATGAGAGAAGGTTTAGTAATATAAATGAGAGGACAATTTAGTAATTTATAAATAAATGAGAGAAATTTAGTAATATAAATGAGAGAGAAGGTTTAAATGAGAGAGAAGGTTTAGTAATATAAATGTAATATAAATGAGAGAACAATTTAGTAATATAAATGAGAGAGAAGGTTTAGTAATATAAATGAGAGAGAAGGTTTAGTAATATAAAATGAGAGAATTTAGTAATATAAATGAGAGAGACAATTTAGTAATATAAATGAGAGAGAAGGTTTAGTAATATAAATGAGAGAGACAATTTAGTAATATAAATGAGAGAAGGTTTAGTAATATAAAGTAAGATAAATTTAGTAATATAAATGAGAGAGAAGGTTTAGTAATATAAATGAGAGAGAAGGTTTAGTAATATAAATGAGAGAGAGAATTTAGTAATATAAATGAGAGAGAAGGTTTAGTAATATAAATGAGAGAGAGAATTTAGAGAGAGAGAGAAGTTTAGTAATATAAATGAGAGACAAGGTTTAGTAATATAAATATAAGAAGGTTTGTAATATAAATGAGAGAGACAATTTCGTAATATAAATGGAGAGAGAAATATAAATGAGAGAGAATTTAGTAATATAAGAGAGAGACAATTTAGTAATATAAATGAGAGAAGGTTTAGTAATATAAATGAGAGAGAAGGTTTAGTAATATAAATAAGAGAGACAATTTAGTAATATAAATGAGAGAGAAGGTTTAGTAATATAAATAATAGTAATATAAATGAGAGAGACAAATGAGAATTTAGTAATATAAATGAGAGAGTTTATAATATAAAAGGTTTAGTAATATAAATGAGAGAGAAGGTTTAGTAATATAAATGAGAGAGGAGGTTTAGTAATGTAAGTGAGAGAGACAATTTCGTAATATAAATGAGAGAGAAGGTATAGTAATATAAGTAAGAGAGACAATTTAGTAATATAAATGCGAGAGGTCGCTAAGTAAAATAAATGAGAGAGATTTCGTAGTAATATAATTGAGAGAGACAATGGAATAATATAAATGACAGAGAGAGTGTGAAGTAATATAAGTCACAGAGAGTATGTGAAGTAATATAAGTTGATATTGGACGCCTTGATATATTTTCAGCGAAAAAGTATAAGAATTAATATAAACCAATTTCTTAAATGTAGCAACATATATTATTGCCTGAGATAGAATCCAAAATGTGTGAATAAAGCTGTGTATGTAGAAATGTGCTTCTTTGTTGTACTCATGGGCAAAGTTCCGATAGAAAATTGTGAAGTGTTTTTAGTTGATTTAGCAGAACCATTAGATATGCCTGTATGCAAACAAGTAAGCTTAGAGCATTTTATGCTGTTTACTATTCTGTCCAATACGATATGTAGTTCAGTGGAAACTAAAAGTCCCCGGGGTAGGGAAAGAGACACGTTTTATCTCTAAGGTATCCTATTGTTAAAAGGGAGAAGATGAAACTATATGGCTTTTTTTTTTCATAGACATGTTTTTTTTTTTTCAGCGCCATCTATTGGTGGCTAGCTGGAGTACTTTGACAGACAAGTTCGATAATCCCACAAGCAAAATGGTGGTGATTTTCTAAGTGTAACTTAGAAGTGGCACAAGGCCGAATGTATACGGCAGCCAAAGTAGATCGAACCTATTTCTCAGTTGCAGTTGTTCGAGCGAGACAGCCTTGCTAATAATTTCATCACGTGTAGGTTTAAATGCATTAATGTTTAAAGTAGCAAATGGATTTTATAAAGTTCTTTTTAATGAATCTGTGGATATAACACATAAATACAAATCTGCTGATGAAACAAAGACTTGCTCTTATTTTAATAATAAGTCTGATTGGTTCAATAGGGAAATACTGACTACATCTGTGTCCTGGGTAAGACGATTAAATACAACCAACTGCAAGCCCTTTGATCGTGAGGTTTTGCGGAGCGTGGAACCACCTCTTAATTGCTGGCGATTCATGGTTCACCCTGACCCGGGGCGGTGGCACCTGTTAGGGTCCCAGCTATGGTCAAATAGTTAACACCTAAACTGGAATCAAAACACTACGGAAGTGTAAAAATAGGTTTTAATACCAGCAATACATTTTTGTTAAAGATTGTTAGCAGCAATAAATTTGTCAAGGAAAAAATTATTAACAGCAATAGATTTAAAAAAAAAAATTACCATCAATACATTTTTGAAGAAAAATATTACCAGCAATACATTTTTGAAAAATAACAGCAACACATTTTTGTAAATAATTATTTCCAGCAATACATTATTACCAGCAATACATTTTTTGGGGGAAAAAATATTACCAGCAATACTTTTTTCGAAAAATAACAGCAGCACCTTTTTGTAAATAATCATTACCAGCAATACATTTTTGGAGGAAAAAATATTACCAGCAATACATTTTTTCGAAAAATAACAGCAACACCTTTTTCTAAATAATTATTACCAGCAATACATTATTACCAGCAATACATTTTTGGAGGAAAAAATATTACCAGCAATACTTTTTCGAAAAATAACAGCAACACCATTTTGCAAATAATTATCACCAGCAATACATTATTACCAGCAATACATTTGTGGTGGAAAAATATTACCAGCAATGCTTTTTTTGGAAAAATATTACTGGCAATAAAAATCTTGTCGGCATTAAATAACCCGTTGAGGTTGATATGCCGAAAAACAAAACAAACCAAACCAAACGAAATATTGACCGCTGATCTAAAAAATGACCCGCAATCCGTTGTTAACTGGGGCAAGGAATGGTTTGGTAATTTTAACGCCCCTCTTTAAATCGTCTGAGAAAAACTATTTTACCTTACATGGCTAATGCTAACCTTCAGGAAAGTTTCTCATTGTCTGGGGCTAACGTTTTCCGCTTATATGGAATGAAAAGATTTTGTTGAATCAATCGCTAAATCTGATGCTAGGAAAGTTGATTCACTGTGTCTTGCTGGAAATTTTTCTAGCCAAAATCTATCTTACACATTTATATTCATTGAATATTGCTGTCACATTTTGTTTTAGAGATTCTGCTGTCCGAATGAAACTTCCTCCTTACTAATGGAATATTAAGGGAATGGGGATGATTAATCCCAGTCTACGTGGCATGGTGGGCCTTAACTGTTTTGGAACTGATTAATGTAGCTCGTTTGAACATTTGCCATGGAAATAGCGATAGATTAGCGAGAGGCCTGCAACTTTTCGTCTGTGGGGAAAAGGGGTTTGTGATATAGTTGCATATAACCTGCCAGCACCAGTCTTAAACGGCATCTAGTTTTAAGTAATTGTTTTAAATTCTGCTTTTCAAGATAGTCGAACAAGCAGACGCTTCTCCGTCAGTTACTGCCAATCTTTGTACAGCAGATAACTTATTCACATTTAATACTTGTCCTTATGGTGAGTTTCGTATAAACAAAACAAGACAAAGAATGATTTTTGAATAGCAGATGAGAAGTGTTGATAAATAGAAAACTAAGCAAAGAACAAGTTAAAACATTTGCTTAGAATATAACTGCCACATCTTGTCTGGTGCTCCTGCTATATATTTAAAGATACTTGATAAAATCCAAAGAATCTACAATATTATTGCTCGCCAAAATCTATCTTACACATGCATTGAATATAGCTGCCACATCTTGTCTGGTGCTCTTGCTATATATATTTAAAGATTCTTAATAAAATTCAAAGAAGAATCTGCAGTGGTATTGGTCCTGACCTGGCATCAGGTGACTGTCGAACTCTCTGCATTAGCAGAGATGAATCCGGACGAGGCTTTGCCTTAGGGCAAGGTTTCGTCCGGGGAGGTCGACAGGGCCTGAACCCGTCTAGGCGGGTTCAGAAAGGCCATATTTTTGGCCGAGCCTACGGGCTCGGGGATACCCACATTAAAATGGCCTTGTGCCACATTCGATCCTCGTGGGTGGATTGATAAATACAGACCTGGCATCTCGGCTTCAGTCCTTTTCCCACCGCCGTAATGTAACTTTACTCTGCTTTTTCTCTAAATACTGTCATTATAATCGTTCAGAAGAAATTTCTTCTATTGTACGTAGACTTTATGAATTTAAACATAGTGCTAGACTGGGGACCATTTCTCATCCTTTTATAATTGAAATGGCTAGATGCCACCGGAAATTCTATGTTAATAGTTTCTTCTCTCGCATTTCATGCCTATGGAACTCTCTCCTGATTTCTTACGTTTTAGTTAACTTTGATTTTCAAAAATTTAAATGCAATATCAGTCGTTGTCTTAATTCCTTTTCTTTTATTGTTCCCTCCACTTTAATAATGTTTTCTTTTCTCCTCATGTTCTCTCAGTAGCCGTTTCCGTTTTAGTAGCTTTATTGCCTTGTTTGGGGTGAAATGGTTTAAAAACTATCTATGTGGCTTTACAGAAACCGATGGCTTGTACCTAATTGAAAATGCAACCTTTCTTGTAATATTTCATTTAATCAAAACGTGTGCATAAACGGCGTCTACTTGATCGGGTATCTTTTCCCGTGTACGGGCAAAACTTTAAGTGCGATTATGTTTCTTTGCGCAGGTTTGTATGCCAAAATCGTTTTTAATGCACACACGAGCCTCTACGCTGTTGTCTGCTTCGTACAATTTAAAAGAAAAAAAAAGTTCTACAGTTTCTTTCTTCCCTTCTAAGTAAAGACTATCTTTTCATTTTTTTTTTTTTTATTTGTTTGTAATGTTCTTTAATACGAGATATTTATTTTTGTTTTTAAAAATGTTTTATTTAAAAAGAAAAATCTCCTAACATCAGCATCGTTCTTATAAAATCAAAGGTTAAAAAGAAATGTAAAAAACGGATTTGAAAAATTCTCATTGATTGTTTTATTCTAGTTTTATATTCTTTTATTGATAACAGAGAAAAAAAAAACGAATTCCGACTTTGTCATATTTTTTTTATTATTAAAAAGGAACTATTCTTTAAAAGAGGGTTATATTCAAGGAAATATCAATTTTTTCTCCCGACTGAAAAATTCACTGCGGAGCTAAGGCAGCTGTTAGAAGCGAGCAAGATATATGAAGGTAAGCTGTAATATTGAAACCAGATGAAGATAAAGCGTCATGATTATATTATGTTCGTGTATTTTCCGCCATTTTTCTTGGCTGTATTTTGGCGTTTTTTTTTTCTTTCTTTTCTATTCGGAGATCTTTTTAAGCACTCATCTGCACATTGGCAATATCGAAACACTGATAAGCTTAATTCTGTGTTTATTGGTAAAGACGGAAATAAAACAGTGAAAAACAACAACAATAATAATAATAATAATAATAATAATAATAATAATAATAGGAAGAAGAAGAAGAAGAAGAAGAAAAAGAAGAAGAACAAGAAGGAAAAAAATGTATATTTCGCCTTGTATTGAGCGTTTTCTAGGCAGAAAAAATGAGTTAGCGTGAACATACATGGCAAATATTTTTTTAAAGAATAGATTAATGAATAAAAAGTAATAACGAAAATGTTTACTCATGCATATATATATATATATATATATATATATATATATATATATATATATATATATATATATATATATATATATATATATATATATATATATATATATATATATATATATATATATATATATATATATATATATATATATATATATATATATAATCTTATATATATATATATATTTCATAAGATTATTATATATATATATTATATATATAAAAGAAACATGTTTCATAGATTATTTAAAAAGAAAAAGAACTGGGCTAATTTAATGCGAAACGCTAGTTTAATACTAGATACTACTACTACTACTACTAATAATAATAATAATGATAATAATAATGATAATATCCGAAAACAATTGACCATCTTGTATAAGATTGCCTGTTATTAGCCTCCACCAAATACTCGACATGACCAGATAGGCCAAAATTTTCACTGAAAAATCTGCATCTTTTACAGAAGAGAAACTGCAATCAATTAATATGAACACAACTCAGACCCATTTACAGAGATAAGACCTGTAACAATTTTACGGGACGTTACAATACACACAGACAGAATAATCAAAGCTGACTAGCCAGAAATAGTTATATAAGACCACCATCAAAATACAAGGATCTCGAAGTTGAAATCTAAAAAATGTGGCATATGAGGACATCAATAATTTCAGTTGTAGTTGGAGCCCTCAGTTTGATTGGAAAAGGTTCCGATCGATTAAATGAACTGTTCCCTGGTAGCCCATGCCTTAAACATTGTCGTTACAATTGCAGCTCACACCTTATGAATAGCTTTACTTATGTACAATGTGTATGATCATAGGTTGTTTTATTTTGTTTATATTTTATTTATTTATTCATTTATTTATTACAAAAATGTTTAGAGAAAAATTTCATGATGCCATTACTGACCTTAGGTTTCTGGTTGGTACCCGGAAGGAAATGATTATACAATAGAAATCAAAGAAAATAATAATAATAATAATAATAATAATAATAATAATAATAATAATAATAATAATAATAATAATGATGATGATAATAATAATAAGGTAACCGGTTATCGCTCTTCACTCATTAGAACTCGATCGAATTGCTCAACATGTCCCGGCGTCTACCAGAACACGTCGACTAGATCATTTGTATAAGTGTGCCATTACGATTCGAACCTACAATCGCAGATTAATTTATACAAAATTGGGAGTGTGCGTCGTCCTTCCTGGGGCACATGATCTCAGTTCTGTGCAGGTTACATTTCAAATACCATTTTAAAGACCTTGAAACAATTTTCATTCAATCAAAACCATCTTCCTTAGATAAACAGAAGGGATAGCTTCTAGGACGGAGTGTGATTTGTTTATAAAAGAAAATAGTCTCAGTATATTATTAATGCGCAAGTACTTTCTTTATCTTTTTTAGTCAGTCGTGCAAAAAGAAAATCGAGTGAAGAGTAAGTGAAGAGCGATAACCGGTTAAGCTCAGTCTGTTATCCTCTTTTATTATCCTCTTCCTTTTCGCACTAAACTACTGTAGTCGTTTTCTCTTTCCCCCCTCTTTTGAATATATCCATTTTTTTTTTTTTATAATTAGATGTTGTAGATCAGTGCTTCTGAAAGTGGTGGTCCGTGGACCGGTGCCGGTACGCGAACCATCAGCTACCGGTACGCGGTCAGTGTCCAGGTCATACTAAGGAATCATTTGAAGCTTCTTTTTTTTAAATTATTTTTTATATGTCTTGATATCGATTTATTTTTTGCAAAATAAATGGAAGATAAAAAATAATAAACTTTTTTATATATATATATATATATATATATATATAATAAAAGTTTAATATTTTTATCTTCCATTTATTTTAAAAAATTTATTATATATATATATATATATATATATATATATATATATATATATATATATAAAATAGTAAGTTTTTTCGGATTACTAACACAGAAAATGTCTCATATCGAGAATATTTAACATTGAAAAACAAAAAGAAAAAATTAATTATTTTAATAATATGTGGAAATCTCCGCTTTTACCTGAAGACGGTCACGAGACCAGAAACACGTGTAGTACAATTATGTAAAACAAAGCATAATATTTTTTTCTAAATAAATCCACATTACAACTAAAAAACGTTTGCGGCACTCTTCTCTTCTTTTAATATATATATATATATATATATATTATATATATATTTTATATATATATATATATATATATATATATATATATATATAATAAAAGTTTACTATGATTATCTTCCATTTATTTTGCAAAAAATAATTCAATATCAAGACATATAAAAAATAATAAAAAATTAAACTAGACCATATCTTTTCCGTTGAGTTGAGAGATTAAATAGGTCAATGTCTGATCCTTATCCCCTCCTTCCTCAATATTAAGTATTATAATAAAAAGAAATTCGAAAATGAACGCTCCTCCGTGGCGAAATCGGTAAAAGCACGTCAGGCTATATGACGGTTCCGTATCGGATACAGGTTCGATTCCTGTCGATGGACGCATATTTTCTATGAGAATTTCTCGGGCATTCAGTCCGGTAAATGTTGTTAATACTGTTTATTATAAACAGAGCATTTATTTAAATATTTGTGTCTATAAAAAAAAGAATGTATAAACATGTAACATAAATTTATTGCTAATGATTTTACACCGGAAATTCTTTCGAAAAGATCTTCATTGCAAAAACTGAAATGAATTATAAATATTCTTTAATGTTCCCCCTACCGAAATTTATTGACAATGAGAAAGAAAGAGATGGTCTGCACTGAAGAATAAACAGTTAGAGAAAGAACAGTGTGTTATTAGATGTATAATTTGAAGATTTTATAAAGGAGGAAATAGTACAGATTCAAACTGGGAAGAACGTTGAAGGCAACAAAGATGAGAGAATAAATTTATATATTAGAAAGAAAAAAAAAAACTCACCCACTCCAATTATCATTATTATTGACTCCGCCTGAAAGAAATAAAATAAATGATCTCCAAATAAAAATTTACTGTGCATTTAAAAGATTAAAAATTTGGTTCCTGTCTGTCGATGCCTGTGAAACGCTCAAGGTGTTTGCACCATTGAAATTAGTTAAACGTGAAGCGAAGTGGATGAAGGAAAGTGCCCAAGGCCTAAAAGAAGAGAGAGGAGGAGGAGAGAAAGAGAGAGAGTGAGAGAGGAGAGGGAGGGGGAGGGGATAGGGTGGGGTGGGGAGAAGAATGCTAAAGCGACTTTTCCAGGTGAAAGGAGAGACGCGCACATTAGCGTTCGTCAGTCTCAGGGAAAGGATTACGTTGAACTGAACGTTCTGAATAGAAAGCAAGCAAGAAACAACGGTGTCAATTATGCTGAATCCATTTGTAGTTGCAAATCAAGATTTGAGCCGAGTTTCAAGCGATGGGAAATCTGAGTTCAAGACTGTTCAGGTGTGCAACTTAGATTCATTTCGCTTTCTGACTGGCCTCCGGCGGGGAAGATGAAGATGGTCAATGAAAGATGGATTGTAATGTGTCGGTGGGTGAAAGCAAAGAAAGGGTACAAGAGGAAAAGGAAGCTACGAGGATTAAGATTGTCCGTCGGTGGGTATAGAAAGACAAGAGAATACGGAGGTTGGGAGAGTGTGCGGGAATAGGATAAGTGAAAGAAAGTACAATAAAGAAAGAAGAGAATAAGAGAAAAGGAAGATGAAAAGAAAAGAGGAGGAGTGGAGGGAAATGAAAGAGGGAAAGGAGAGGAGGGAAATGAAAGAGTATAAAGAGAGGAGGAAAAGAAGAGAGGAAAGAACAAGGGATAAAGGGGAGAGGATAAAGACAGGAAGGAAATTAGAGAGCAAAAGAAGAGGCGGAGAAGGAAAGGAGGAAAAGGGGAAAAAGGAAAAGGAGAAGAGGAAATGGACAGGAAGAGGAGGAGACGAGAAAAAGAAGAGAAAAAGGAAAGGAGGAAAAAGAAAGAGTAATTCCACCTTATCCACGAGGGATACGTTCCAAGATACTCTGTAGCTGTCTTAACCGCGGAAAGTACCGAACCCTGTACATAACGAGTTTTCTTCCGTAAACAAAATCCTACCATAAAGTTTAATTAATTAATTAGCACAAAAAGAGATTATCAAGAACAACTAATAATAGAACAATTATAACAAAGCACTGTAATAAAAGTTATGACGAACAGAAGTTTCTTACTGTAAATATTATTAGGTACAATAAGAAATAAAAAAAACCCACTACACTGTTTACATTATTCGGACTTTTCTCCTCATCTTTGCCGCCATATTTATCACAACGTTTCGGCCATTGTACGCTCCAGCCTTCTTCATGTGGTTGGAATGTCGAACTGAACACTTTATTTCGCTCGCTGGGGTAGACTGTTCTAGTTCCACCTGCCATGTCTAATGGATGTCAGTTATCAGTTATCGCCTGTTAATTCCCCTCTCCATGTTCTCCACTGCATTAACCAGGTATTGAACTCACAACTCTTTGGGGCCTGTCACTGGATCTAACCAACGCCTTTAGTCACTGTGCCATGTGTCCTTGAGGAAACGCTGTGATAAATATGGCAACAACGATGAGGACAATAGTCCGAATAATGTAAATAGTGTACATAATACCTCATCTCAGAAATATAGACAGATACTGAAAAAGAACTAATATTAAAATAGATCTATCTATCTATCTATCTATCTATCTAGATAGATAGATAGATAGATAGATAGATAGATAGATAGATAGATAATCTCTACATACAACGTGTGAAAACATGTACGATATCCTGTATTCGTCAGCCGCTAACCAGGGGAGGTAACAGAGCTTCGGTGGCTAAGGTGGTACTATCACCCCGGGTGCCACCAGCAACTTATGCCAACGAACAGAATATTGTTTTTGTATACGTATCAGTCTCTTGCGATGTTTATCACAACATTTTTTTTAAGCGTTTCACCCCAAGCAAGGCGGGAAGCCACTAGCACGCAAGGGGTTACAGAGAGTTGGAACTAGAGCAAATAGGAGTGATAGAGGAAAGGATGAAGAGAAGGTTAGGGGATAGATCAAGGCATCTGGAGACGTCGATTGATATTACATTTGAATAGTTGGAGATTATAGCTATCAGGGAAACAAGAAAAGGGGAGAGAGTTCCACAGGCGAGAAGTGCGAGACATGAAGCTATTGGAGTAGAAGAGACGGCTACATTTTCGACAGTGAAAGGGTGAGAGCGAGATGCCAGCCTAGTAGAACGCTTAAAATGAAATTTTCAACGTTGTGTTAAAACCCATAATGCGCTCGTAATGACCATCGGAATGGAAGGTAAACATATGTTTCACGTTTCAAGCATGGTTTTACTTCATATTCTGACCACTGATGCCAAATTTCAAAATGAAGGAATCGATTGACTGTTCAAGGAATCCACAGCACGCAATAGTTATGGCATAATATGTCCATTCCTTGACGAAGCAGCAAATATCAGCGATTCGTAGCGGGTTTTCTTTTTCATCCATGCGCCTCCTCTCTGTTCTTCTCTCATTAATTCTACTCGGAGGACAAACTTCTTTGAATCAGACCACGCTACAATGTTAGAGCGAACATCTGTCTGAATGACGTGTACCGGAAATTGCAGAGATCAACGAACACCGTCCAATCACAGGCTCCACTCAGTAGTGCCATGTTGGGAGTTATTTGGGTCTTTCGCACGCGGCGTTCACCTTCCTTGTGAAAACGGATCTTAGTTTCTCTGGCCGTTAGATAGTAGTTGAGGGCTACTTCACACTGTGTACTGACTAAGTCCATGACCACTTCAGCTCTTTGTTATGACGCCACGTGTACATCTGCGGTCATTGTAGGCATGCAGAGAGCACGTGACGTAAAGTGTCTCAATCAGATTGACATAATGCGCATGCAGCAGTGTCAGCTTGAGTTTGTTCGCATTTGGTAAGAGATCATAGATAGATCGCAGGAGGAATGATATTGCTAATGGCTCCATTGCAATCATGGTATTCCATGACAGATAGCCTCACTGGATCAATATCACTCCATGTAGTTCAAGCACATTGTTTAGGCTGAGAAACAGCAATAGCTGTTCTCTGCTCTTTCTCGAAATTCCTTTTGTTCAATCACCATGTCTCGTTTACACTTTAGACCTTTGTTTGGAGAAAATATGGTTGCTCGTGCCGTCTAAGCCAGATCGATCGGTTTGGGTTGCCCCCGTAATCTCTTTGGTTCAAAGGCTGGATTATACTTCTTCGGTGGCTGACCATTTGGTATCAGTTTTGATATCTACTGACGAACTCATCAGTCGAGTCCTTTATCATCATGCGAACTTCTCGACCTTGAACTCCTCCAACAATAAGGAGATAGGAAATTGGAGGTTTCTGTCATTAGCATTAAGTCTCACTGTGGTGTAGAAGGAGGGAGATTAAGTCACTTACGCAGGTACTTTTTGTTACACTGCTGCGTCGGCTGAATGCGAGACAGAGTAATATCACACACTTGTAACGACCACAAAAGCATGGGCAGCAAGCCATGTTGATATCACCAAGCCTTCAGTTTGCCGGAGAAATGAAAATAAGTTTGCCGCAGAAATGAGTTCTTTCTGATTGATTCAAGTGCCGATAATTTATTCAGATGTCCGAGGTTTTCTTTGATAGTCACCTGTTTATCAGAGCCTCTGAGTAATGATAAACCCGGTTTTATTCTTAGATGTTTTGAGGTTTCTTTTTGATAGTCAGGATCAGCTCGCCCAATGTGGTTTCAATGCAGAAGTCGATATGGTCTATTATGACAAAGAGCAAAAGGGTCTGAGCAAAAATGACGAAAAAAACACTAAATTAATTTTTTTGGCCTTCAACAAAGTCCCAAAACCAGCATTTTACATTTTGGCTGTCCGGGCTCGTGTTTCTGATCGGTATGCTCCACAACGAAATGGTAGGCCGGGTGACCTATAGAGGTATCCTCTTCTAATCACCAATGGTGTTTTCCGGCCTTCAAGATGATCAACGGGACTGGTAGCAATATGGTCTAGATTCGAAGGCGGACTTGAACGACTTCGTTCTCTCACAAAGATCGAGAAATTCAATGATGACGAAACTGCGGTCAGATTGCCATCCTCCAGAGATCGGATCGGTAAACCTGTATAAGCTTCAAAAAAAAAAAATCCAGCCGGCCTTCAGACAAAAACACTAAGCCAGAAGACTTTTGATTTTCTGGGATTTACCATGCCCCCATAATTGTAGAATAACAAGAAAAAGAACTTACCGGCGTAAGAGTTCAACTAGCGTCCAACAAAAGTCCCAAAACCAGCAATGCAAACTGAGAAACAGCTTATTTATATAATAATTTGGCTGCCAATCCGGATTTCTAATGGACTATGTTTAGATCGGAGATGCTCCACAACGAAATAGCTCTGTCTCTATGTTGAATTAGTCTTGACCTATAGAATGTATGACCACGTGATTGTTCGAATCGTTTGAACAGGATATTGGTAAAATAACGTTGTTGATTATGGCACACGACAATTGTATAGGTGAATCTGTGTTGGGACCATCGACACTAAAGACATCCTGTCTGTCTTGAATTCCACCTCGAGATAGATCAACGGGATTTATATTTGGTGCTGATTTTTGGTGCTTAATGATACAATTTCTCCCATTAATGACTCCCAGCTCCATTGACATCCATTTGAATATAGATCCGCAAGGCGGACTTTTTTGAAGAGTTCCCAATTTTCAGGTGTTCTTCAAACGTGGTCAAGACTATCACTGATTCTATGACGAGAAACCCAGAGGTCAGTATTGATGACGACAGATGCTGATGAGCAACTGCGGATCAGTGAACATGCCATTATATAAACATCAAGGACCAGATCATCCGTGGAAGCAAATGACACACTCCAGACTTTAAACCTGCAGGCATAAATCCCTTTGAACAAAATATAACGAATCGGTATGCAGGTCAATGTCACAAAACACCACAACAAACTTGCGATCCGTACCATCCAGCCTGGCTTGCTTATGGATTTACACCAGCATGGCATGACTCAGGAACTGAATCACGCCGGCTAAAAGAGCATGGGGACAAACATGTAGTAAAATGTTTGAATTATCGAGGGTATGGCGGGCATCATCTCGAATATTCTAAAGTAGAGGAGAGAAAATTTTTAGGCAAATGCCCCATAAGGCCAGAAGGGTGATGCATATGGTTCCATTTTGTGGATTACAAATTAAGAATATAGAAATCACAGCACTAGAATGACAACGCTGACTGCAAATTACTATTACAAATGCTGAAAGAGTGGAGGCTTTTATTTGTATGTAAGGGTTGGCTCCCCGTGGAATTCAGACCAAGGAAGAACTAAACAAGCCCTATACATATGCAAAAGCGCCTCGTTTTGCATTGATGTAGGTACTGTTTACGCTTGTACCCCAGACAACAAAGTTTGCCCCAAATCGTTGGATAAGTCGGCGGCCCTAAAATTGTTGGCATGGAACAGCACCGTTTTTTTTTGACCATCGTCGATTTGAAGGTCAGGGTCATTGAAATTCTGGTTATTAATACCGTATCAGAGGGAAACTGGATACACCAAGATTCCAGTTCCAAAACCCAGTGCAATACCTGAGACCCCTAACCAGTGTCTTGGAATAACATCAAACACTGCTCAGGTCTACAATAACGGAATTATTTGAGATGATTCAACCAGCCAGGTTTAAAGGAACTCATCTAATGAAAAGACCATTACCCACACGCGATGGGGGGGAAGGAGATGTAGAATAACAATAATGTCCGTCGATGGACAAAAATAATGTTGAGTTTATGAACATAGACCAAAGGAGTCATGGTGGCCATGTAATACTTCCAATCAACGGTCAGCAGCCAATATCCAAGCAATGGACTATCCAACGATTTGCACCATAAATAGCTCTGTCTTATGATGAAGAGACACTCCAGCTTGCTCCACAACTGAGTGGTTATCTTGACCACGTGACAGTTCGAGCAAAAAGTCACAGGTGTGGTTGGCATATTTATATGATGCAAATGCTACTTACAAATGAAAAGTCATTTTATAAACCAGACGAACAGGTCTGAAAT